TTTATGATTAATTTTTGGTAAAAAAATCATTAATTAAGGTTGTCTGTATTTAAGTTTTAAATGATACTGGTACAACTCTATCTGGCAGTCTTTAATACCTTGTTAAAGACTATGATAGTTAGTTGACGTCTAATTTCCTGTCCTATCCTAACCTAACCAATATTTAAATATTGTCTTTCATTGTTATGTTTACAATATCGAATACCTTGAAAGTTAGTATTAAAAGATCATTGCAAAGCTCAAGACCAGTGATGATAGTCGTCTATCATCACCATTGGATCCACTAACCATAGGTTTACCTAACTAACCTTCTTATGACTTATTAAGACACGTTGAATAAAAAGATCCTGAGTCTTTTGCCGAACTTAAGTGTTTGACTATCAAGTTGATCCTTTGATTGTTGACACCTTAAGCTTAGACCATATACTACGGATGGAACCAAACTTAGCTCACTAGCCATTGGTGCATCAAGGGGGAGAGGGGAAGGAGCAGTTACTCCAGGTGGCAGGGGCGGCCAAATATTTAGGGGCGACAAAAAAATAATGTAGTTTGTAATATAATAAAAATAAAATATTTAGTAGAATAAATATTAATTATTACTTTTACGAATTTACGATGTCAATAATTGTCGGAATATCTAAAATCGTAGAGAGAACGCTGTTTATGGACCTTGTTTTCGTAATACCTAGTACCTACGTACTAACCACGATTAAAGATATCTAATCAAACTATTTTTAATATTATCACTATTCACTACATATATTGACATGTAATATCCTCCGGGGCACCGAACTATGCCAGCATACGATATTGCCACGTACCCTATTGTGTAGCCTGTTATTCGATTATAATATCTATTATTTTCCTATCTATTTGTATCTATACTATTTATTTATACAAGAAATAATAAAAGTTTTGAACTTGGTAAATGTTTAGGATAATGTTATTTTTATATAATATTTAAAATTTTAAACATAGTATACCTATTTCCTGAGTCGTTTATCATTACAATAATTCATAGCTATAGGTATAGAATATACCATATATGAGACATGAGTTTGAAATTAATAATGATATGTAGACATATTGTGTATGTAATAATTTATTAATTTGTATAAATTGTATCTGGTTCATGTGCTTAAATATATTGTAAAAGACAATACCTAGGTACCTAAGTGTAGCATGAGTAGATAAGTAGATAACTAATGAGTAGATAAGCATATAGTTTTTTTTGTAAGTATATTGTATAATGTTGGTTCGAGCGCAGAGATAACATTTTTTTTTTTGGTTATCGAGTTGTAAAAAAATGCGTATACTGAATTAGGGGCTTCATATTTATGTTTGCTCCCCCATACATTGTCCCTTGATACGGCCCTGTGACACTAGCTAGTGTAAAGTGTAAACAATTTGAAGCACATATTAGCGATCAACGAGTCTCTGACGTTTTTATTGATACATATCAATTCTCATGGATAAATATGAGACATTTCTCTTCACACATTTATCAGAGTCAGAGTCATTAATATGTGCTCAAAATTTTCGGGTTATGGACCCATTCATAGTATATGATTCAAGGTTGATACAATAAGACTGTAATCACAACTTGAAAGTATGATTGGATGTAGATTGTAAAAGTAATAAGTAGCTATTATTGATTCATCAGCATGTATATCCTCTCCGTCTTACAAGTTTATATCAATTTCAGCAGATCTTAATTAAATCTTTAAATTAAATCTTTAATCTTTGTTAGTTTTAATATTAGAGTGATTAATATTTTTTAAAACTATTGAAGCCCAATGATAACTACTGTACGGGCTATACCTACTGAATGAAAATGTGATATCTTTCACACTTGTAAGACACACTTGTAGACAACACATACAGATGAAAGGTTTTTTTTAAAACAACAATTTTAATGATTTTTTTTAGCTTCATGTTTTTTAAAAATACTCGGAGAATGTCGAGCTTTGGAGCAACTTTATAACGTATTCAGTTAATTTTATTTTGTACTTATTAGTTATTGAAACATGATATGGAGGGTAGTCCTTTTGGTCATCCAGTGTCCACAAATATTTCAATTCATAATATGAAATCCCAGCCCTGTCCCCCATACTCTGATATTAAAAGCCCAGGCCACTTATTCATATTATCTACGCAAAAAGTAAATTTAAGAAAAAATTGTAAATCAAGGCACAGTCTCTCTTTGTAATAATATTTGTGATTTCATTAATGTTTAGTATTTTGTATAGTTGGATTGGGAAAACATAAGACAATACCATTTAGACAATATTGTGACTAACACAATCATACTTTTATAAAAGCTTATGATGTAGGTACTTTCTATTTTTTGAATTAATCTTCTTTTTTTTCGGGTACTTTATTGGTGGACGGCACTTTAAGTACGGTTTCTCGACGTACAGAGGCACCTTGAGGCATTTCCTTTTAATAATTCAAGAGTGTAACTAATACAATCATAATATAATATGAGTATAGTACATTTCGTAATATTTTTTTTATAATTTACTGTTAGTGAAATATTAGTTTTGTATTTCTAATATAATATGTACTGATATTTATGGACAGCGCTTGCACCATGGCCCCTCGATATAGTGATGAGGCGACCCGGCCCATCTCTTTTAGATAAATGATTAAGTACCTACTCAATGAAGTCTTCCAATTTACTAAATAGGTATTTATATTTTGTAGATAATTTGGAATAATTTGAAGAAAAATTTGAAATTGAAGAGAGACTGTGTGAAGTACCAAAATATGTGGTGTGACTTGTACATTTGAACACTTGTTATAATGTATTATATTAAACTTTAGTTAATTTTTAATTGAAGAGAGACTGTGTGAAGTAACAAAATATGTGGTGTGACTTGTACATCTGAACACTTTTTATATTGTATTATATACAGTGACCCAATTGTAACCTACTGTACAGCAGAGCGACACCCACTTGCCCACCTTTTTTTAAAAATATTTCAGTGCATATTTTAAATCATATTTTGTTTGTTTTTGGTGCATACATGTATAATATTTAACACTATTTTATTGCATTAAATTCACAGCTCTGCTAATTACTTTTACTTTCAATCATACCTACCACAGTTAATGTTAAATGTCAAATTGTCAATAATCAACTGCTTCTTCAATTTGATAACACTTATAACTATAAGGGATGTCAAATTTTTAGTGCACCATTTTTTTCTCTCTCTGACCCACGAACAATCATATTTATGTTTAACAGAACAAACCAGAGCCGGTTCAAGGACTCAAATTTCGTACAGCAATAGGTATATATTTATAAGCAATTTATAGCCAATAGGCCAACATAAGCTCCCAACCACATTTTTTTTTGCTTTACCGTTCAAAATAGTAGTG